TTATTATTATTATTATTATTAATTTATCGTTAATGTTGTGATATAATGCATATTCATCATCTGAACTGAGTGTTAATTAATTACAACAATTCAAGATTATCGGATGTTGGTGTTGATCTCAATTCGGAGGAGATTCAAAGCGCTGACGCTATAGGGCAGAAGTGTGGAGCAGATGCAGACTTGCAGTTAATAACCGAACTTTGGATTGAACCTCATTCGACGTGCGATGAGAGCGAGATTGAATCGATGAGAAGTGGATATAAACAGGTTTATTTAGTAATCGTTTTGTTATTATTATTATTATTATTATTATTATTATTACAACAAAGAATGAGAGTATATTGGCTTGAGGATAGACGAGCAGAAGGTAGCATGAATAAGCACTGTAAGCACTGTACTTATACGAAATAGAAATAGACTGTTTAGTGGAGTAGTGAATGGTGTTTGTTTGATTGGTTGGGTATTGTATTATTTGTATTTGTATTAGGGGTATTTGCTTTTGTAGTGGGTGCTCTATATGCTTTGATTGGACGACGGACTGTTGCCTGTTGATAACAACACGTATCGATAGTCGTCGTCACATGCTCTTGTTCGTTCGTTCATCCATGATACTGCTTACTTACGTGCAGTCAGCAATCTGTATTAGCTGCATTCTCTTCGTCTTCATTCCTTTGCAAGTCTCGTATTTGAGCATTTCTTTCTGCATTCCTTCTTATCACTTCTACCACCATCATTAGCTTGTGCTATTTCTCATCTAAATTGGTGAATAATTTATTCTGTCATTTGCGGACTGATCACAAAGTGGAATTTAAAAAATTATTACATTCATACGGAATGAATATAGTGATGAACGTTAAATGCTGAAAATATTACGGTTTATGGTTTATTTGCGTTTGATTTCTGATCGTGATTCATCCTAGTTTACCTTTTTGTAGACGACAACTTTTGCACGTCTGTCCGTCTCAGTGCGAGATATAATTTGTTTGTGCTTGCTTAATACAGTCAATATTAGTGGGTTTATGATCAGAAATAGAGTGCAGGTTATCGATGATTTTTATTAGGTGACGATTATTATGGGGTGATTTGCTTCAGAGGTTTTCGTTTGATGAATTTTGAAGGGAGTTTTGGGATTGTTATCATTATTATTATTGTATGATATGATGTGATGTGATATGAAATGATGTGATATGA